GAGCCCCACATCCACCCTGTGTAGAGCCATGTGACCGCTCCATGCTCAGTGGGGAGTCTGCTTGAGATTCTCTCTCTCCCTCTCCCTATGCACCGCCCCCCACTGTCACATGCATGTATACTCTCTCTCTAATAAATAAATAAAATCTTCTAAAAAAATAAAAGTCTTAAATTTCTAAGCATTTGCTTCTAATCTGTCTCTTCAAGACAATTTTATCTGCAAAAAAACAAAAACAAACCAAAAAACCCAAACAGTTTGAAAATCTTCCACTTTCATAAAATAATATTAAGTTACTAAGAGGCAGAAAGAATAAAAGACTTCAAAATCATGAAGGAAATGAAGACTTTCTCAAAGCCATTAATAATATATGGAGCCAGGGCGGGGGTTGAGGGAGTGATTAATAGGGCGTAAAAATGCAAAACATTTTAAATAATATTTTACTATTTATTAAATATTTCACATAGTAGTTGGAGAAGAAAACTACTCCAAGAGATATCATTTTATCAGGAAAAGTGAATTCTCTATATACAAAGACTTTACACCCTTCACAAAAATCAACTCAAAATGGATCATAGACCCAAATGTAAAACGTGAAACTAAAAAACTCCACAAAAAATTGCATAGGAGAAAACCTAGATAACACTGGGTATGGCGATGGCATTTTAGATACACAAAGGAACGATCCATGAAAGAAATCAGTGATAAACTGGACTTTATTAAAATTGAAAATTTCTCCTCTGTGTAAGACACTGTCAAGAGAATGAGAAGACAAGCAACAGACTGGGAGAAAATGTTTGCAAAGACACATCTGATGTAAGACTGTTATCCAAAATATACAAAGAACTCTTAAAACCTAACAATAAGAAAATAACCTGACTAAAATATGGGCCAAAGAGCTTAACAGAAACCTCACCAAAGAAGATATATGGCTGACAAATTAGCATATGAAAAAATGCTGCACATCACATGTCATGAGAGAAATGCAAATTAAAACGAGATACCACTACATGCCTATAAGAATGCCCCAAATCCAGAACACTGACAACACCAAATACTGGAGACGGTGTGAAGCAACAGGAACTCCATTCATTGCTGGTGGGAATGCAAAATGGTACAGACAGTTTGGTAGTTTCTGGCAAAACTAAATATACTCTTCATCATACAATCCAGCAATCATGCTCCTTGGTATTTACCCAAAGGAGTTGAAAACTCACGTCCACACAAAAATCTGCATACAGATATTTATAGCAGCTTCATTCATAATTGCAATAATTTGGAAGCAACCAAGATATCCTTCAGCAGGTGAATGGATAAATTATGTGTGGTATATCCAGGCAAGGGATCTTACTCAGCACTGAAAAGAAGTGAGTGATCAAGCCATGAAAGGACATGGAAGAACCTTAAATGCATATTGCTAAGTGAGAGAAACCAACCCTAAAAGGCTACGTACTACTGTATGATTCCAACTATATGATGTTCTGGGGAAAGGCAAAATTATGGAGACAGTTAAAAAAAAAAATCAGTGGTTGCCATGGTTGGGGGTGGTGGGGGAAAAATAAATAGGTGAATCACAGAGAATTTTTAGGGCAATGAAAATATTCTGTATGATACCATAATGATGGATACATGTCATTATACCTTTGAGGTACACAGGATGTACAGTACCAAGACTGAACTATAATGTAAACTATAGTCTTTGGGCGATCATGATGTGTCAATGTAGGTTCATCAGTGGTAGCAAATGTACCACTCTGGAGAGGATGTGGTTAATGGCGGAGGCTATTCATGTAGGGGGGAGCAGGGAGTATAGAGGAAATCTGTGTACTTTCCCGGAAATTTTGCTGTGAACCTATAAGTGCTTTAAAAAGATAAAGTTCTAATTATTAAAAAGTTAATTCCTTAATTCCCTGTTAAAATTCGTCAGTGTAGTCCCTACTTATAAAATCTAGACTCTCTTGCAAGGCATACAATATTTTTTATTTTCTGATTCCTGTATACCTTTCCAAGCTCATCTTCAGTCTCTTCCCTTCACCCAACTTCACCCTCCCCCATGAGGACCACAAGTTCTCTCACTCCTTCAATCTTTTCCATATGGAGTCCCTTGGCTTGGTAAATATCTACTCATTCTTCATGTCTCAGTGCAAACGGAGCCTCCCCTGTGCATCCTTCCCTCACTTCCCCCTGCAGAGCCTGGTTTGCAGTCTTCAGTCTTGGCAGCATCTCTGCTTATTGCATCTTGTTTAAATACCTAACTTTTGTCTCCATTTAGAAAATAAGAACCAAATCTTTCTTTTCGTATCTCCAATGCCAAGCACACAACCTTATCCACCGTAACAAAGACGCCAAAAAGAAAAAAAAGAAAGAATGGTTATGAATGACCTCATAAGAGTACAATTGTGTTTAAGGATTTACAAAAAGTCATTTTGTGGAAAATGTGAAGCAATCTTTCAGCACAATTATTGGCAAGTTGGAAACTTCCATAAGCATATGCAGAATACAAGTGCAATTTTGTAAGAGAAAAACAAGCATGTGCTTAAAAAAAGACTGAAGGGAAGTACCAAAATGTTAAAAGTGATGTTGTTAGAATGGTGAAAAGCCATGGGTAATTCTTCCCCCTTTCCCTTTTTCAAAAAATGTCTTAAATGCTTAAACAACTTAATACTATTCTCCCTATATGGCCTTGGCCCCCTAAAACATTCTAAACTTACTAATCTACCAAACCAACTGGTTGAGAACCTAACACCATGCCACTCCAAGCATGGAGGAAAAAGATGAGAAGGTAAGCACCTTGCTGCCCAAGGGTTGGAGAAAGTAAAGATGTAGGCTTTCATGATTATTCTTTCTATATATTCCTAACCTGTTTTGATCACCTCTTTTAGATCCAAAAAAGAGACTATTTACATGGAACAAGAAACCAATTAGCATTCACAGATTACCTATTCCAAGAGTAGATGCTAAAGGGGTATAAATAAGACATGGTAAAATAAGACACAGTAATAAAAATAAGGTAAAATAAGACATGATCTCCATCTTCCCGTAATTTACAGTTCAGTGGGAGAAGGGGAAAACTACTCACATGAAACATCAATAGTATGCAACTGGGTGATGAATTATGCAATCTAATTGTCCAAACCAACATATAAATACCATTAATACCTGATAAACATGGCAAAGTCTGAGAAAGTAACAATTCTATTTTTAGATTAGAAAGATGAGCTATTACAGCTATGAGTTATAAATATCACACTAAACCACAGAAGTATTTTGCAAATTTTAAGGTTTTTGAGTTTGCTTTTAAGTGTGACAGAAACTGGAAAAACCAAATTTAAACCACGACTAAGTGGGAAAAACTAAGGAAACAAAATATACCTGAGATTTTTGTCTTTGGGCTTTTACTGCTGGGAAGAGCTCCATCCAGAGACTGAGCAGAGTGAAAAGGTTGACTTTAGAAAGCCTTGGTATTTGACCTACAAAAGAGAGGGTAGACACTTTAAAATTTTTACTAATGATGAAAATAGGAACTCATCCTCAATGCCATTTGGGTGCTGCAGCCTGAACTCAGCTGCTTTAGTAGGAGGCAGAGAAAAAGGATGAGAGGACAAAAGAATCAAAGGGCAGGAGCCTGGCTACAACCTCACTTTCGGCGACCTCCTCTGGCACTTTTCAAAGTTGGGCCCTTTCTCCAGCCATCACATGACAAGGAAAAAAACATGGTACAACTGATAAATTTAACTATGGGAACAATCCAAAGGAAGTTATGAAAAGTCCTTGCGTCTGATGTTATCGTGAAGCAAGCTTTTCTTTAAATTGTGGTGTTGCAAGAAGGGCAGTGCGGTGACCTTCGCGGGGAAGGCAGTTGAAATACAGGAAAGCGTCGTGTGTGGTTAATTCGGAAATCAAGTCAAAAGCACGGAATTTTCAGGCTCAATACCTGAGATCCCAGCTCTAGGTCCTGGGAGGAAAAGTAAAGGGCGGGGGCGTGGGGGTGGGGGTAAGAGGGAATGAGCGCGATTTCAAAAGCAGGTGTTGTCAGGCCAGGGGTTCCTGGTGACCGAGGCGAGCACGCGCCTAGGGCGGGAATGACACATCCCGGGGCAGAAGCGCGGGCGAAGAGGGATAGGCAGGGAAAGCGGAGTTACATGGAGGCAGAGGCTCAGGGCAGAGCGAAAGGCTGGGATGGCAGCAGCAGGGTCCGAGGCACTCACCAGTCATGCTGCCAGTCTGGGTGCTGACTGACCGCCCGGCCCCCGCGCTCTCCAGATTTTGCATCTGCCCTGCTTCTTTCATCCCAAGCCTAGCGGCCTCTGCTGCCCAGAATACCTCTCGCTGTCTGGCATGATCTTAGCCCCAGCGGCTCCACCTCCCGCCTCCTCCCAGCAACTATACGGCAACCGCCAACTGGGCGCAGCCAGTGACGTAGGAGCCCGACCACCACTTCCGGGCGCCTCGTGTGTCGTATTAGCGAGGCGTGGACGCGGCGGCGCAGGGCTGCCCCTTCAGGGGCGGCTGCATAGGTAAGAAACTGCAATAAATCATATGAGGCCTGACTTTAACTGTCGATGTTTTTGGCCTGGAAGTCCCAGGTTGTGCGGACTCTGATAGAGTGATGAGGCCTGCGCAGACTTGAGAGTTTTGGTGAGAGAGTGAAGGGGAATTGGAATGGAATGCTGCCCCATCTGTCACGGTGGAGATCTTAGAGAAGGGGGAGGTGGGGTTGGGAAGGTAGGACCTGGGCGGTCCAGGTGGTTGTTACCATCAGAGATTGGCCAGCCCTTAGGAACTCAGTGCCAGGGACTACCATAGGGACATTCTGCTTCTCATCAAACGTATCACCTCAAGAAGTCCTACTGCAGGGGCACCTGGGTGGCTCAGTCGGACTCTTAGTTTCAGCTCAGCTCATGATCTCATGGTCGGGGGATCGAGCCCGCTGTCGGACTCTGCACTCAGCGTGGAGTCTGTTTCAGATTCTCTCTCTCTCTCAAATAAATAAATAAATAATAAAGTCTTAAAAAAAAAAAAAGGCCAACTGTGATTATGAGAAAGGTGGGGGTAGGAGGAAGTAGCAAGTGGCTCCTGGAAAATATGGGGAGTGCCATATTGACATTGTAGGTTTGTGCCCAGTGCATTTTATTTGATTATTTGTAAGTGTCCCAGTCATGACTCAAAATGAAGCTCCTCCCCAGTGACTCAGAGCCCAGTTTCCCTCACCAACCCATTCTGTTCTCACAACTTGAAATACTGACAAATATCAAGACATGAAAACAGCTTTTTGAAAGCAAAAGTTGAACGTTACTAAAAAGGCATCATTTTGTAAAGGACTGAAGTGGTAATCTTCGGTGATAATGGTATGGCTTATAGTTCCTTATTTTCACTTCTGTATAGTATTTAACTATAGCTATATACCACAATTTATTTATCCATGTTTGAGCCAAGAAACATTTGGACCATCTCCAGTTCTTTGCTATTGCAAATAACACTGCTATAAACATTTTTGTATGTCTCCTTATCTTTAGGGACTATACTTAGGAGTAGAATTGTTGGGTTGTTATTGTCAAGTTTACCAGATAATGCTGAAAATTTTTATAAAGGAATTGGACCAGTTTATATAGCTCTACGTCACCACTAACTCTTGGTATTGTCAAACTTACAATGTTTGACAATTGGGCTGGCATAAAATGATACCCTGTGGTTTTGATTTTCCCTGATTTCTACTTTGGTTGGACATCTTGTATGTTGGTTGGCCATATGTGTGTCCTCTATGAAATACCTATTAACCATTTTTCTCTTTGGTTGTTTCTTATTTCTTATTCATTTGTAAGCGTTCTTTATATATTCTGGATATTCATTCTCAGTTGGGAGTGTGTATGATAAATATCTTCTCCCATTTGCCACTTGCTTTTTCACTTACTTTATTATGTCTTTCAGTGCAGTGTTTTATTTTAAAGTGCCAAACATGCCAATAATTCTCTTTAATGGGTTTTATATTTTAGTATCTTTATAAAATGTCTTTCCTACCCAAGGTTATAGAAATATTCTTTTGTATTTCCTCTAAATAAGTTTTTCCTTTGACATTTACATATGCATGCATGTAGAATTCATTTTTGTGCATCGTCTGAGGAAGGGATCCAATTTTATTTTCCATTTGATAGTCAGTTAACACCAACACTATTTCCCCATTGATATGCAATGTCACCTGTGTCATATATCAAATTTCCATACACACATGAGACTGTTTTTGGGCTTTGTATTTCATATCATTTGTTTATTTACCTCCCTTCCCCCAAAAAGGATCTTATTTTCTTCAGGAATATCTTGGCTATTCTTGGCCTTTTAGAATCTGTGTAAATTTAGAATCATATTGTCACATTCCTCAAATATCCCACTGGAATATTGATTGGAAGTGCATTGAATTTATAGATCAATTTGAGATATATAGGCTTCCTGTCCCTGAACATAGTACATGTGTGTGAACATGGTATACTGGGTTTTCAGAAAGTTTCAAAAGGATTTATGATTTTTTCCCACAAAGATTTTACATATATTTTATGATTTAATTCTAGGTTTTTTGTTGGTATTGTAAATAAAAAAAATTTTTTTAAGATTATTTATTTATTTAATTGAGAGAGAGAGAGACCGTGAGAGAGGGAACACAAGCGGGGGGGTGGGAGAGGGAGAAGCAGGCTTCCCGCTGAGCAGGGACCCCGATGCGGGGCTCGATCCCAGGACCCTGGGATCATGACCTGAGCCGAAGGCAGTCACCTAACCAACTGAGCCACCCAGGTGCCCCAAATGAAAAAATTTTTTTAAATAAACTCTACCTGCAACATGGGGCTTGAGCTCACAACCCCAAGATCAAGAGTCGCATGTTCTACCAACTGAGACAACCAAGCACCCTGTAAATGAAATCTTTTAAAAAAATTATATTTGTAAGTATTTGTGGCTAATATATAGAAATGCAAGTAATTTTTATGTATTTTATATTGAGCCATCTTGCTAAAATTTCTTATTAATTTTAATACTATTTATTTTTAGTTTCTTTTGTTGTCTAGGTGGAAAGGATATCATCTACAAATAATGACAATTTTACTTACAGTTTTCTAATATTCAAACCTTTAATATTTTATTATCTTACTGCAGTCTAGGATGTCAGAGAAATATTGAATAGAAGTTATGGTAACAGGCATCCTTCCTTGTTTCTGATTTAAAAGGAAATGATTTTTTTTTTTTTTTAAAGAATTTTATTTATTTATTTCTCAGAGAGAGAGCAAAAGCAGGGGAAGCATCAGGCAGAGGGAGAAGCAGGCTCCCTTCTGAGCAAGGAGCCTGATGCGGGACTCAATCCCAGGACCCTGGGATCATGTGTGACCTGAGCCGAAGGCAGACACTTAACTGACTGAGCCACCCAGGCGCCCCAGGAAATGATTTTAATGTTAAACTTTAAAGTATGGTTTTGCTGTAGGCTTTTGGTAGCTGTCCTTTATCAGATTATGCAAATTCCCTTCTATTTCTGTTGTTTTTTTTTAATCAGATGTTGAACTTTATTAAATGCTCATGTTAGGTGCCTTTTATCAGCTTAAGAAAGTTCTTTCTCTACTGGCTTGCTGAGAATTATTATCATGAATGGATGTTGAGTTTTATCAAACATATCTTATGTCTGTTAAGATAATCCTATAGTTTTCCTCCCTTAGTCAGTTAATGTGGTGAATTATACTAACAGATTGCTTGATATTAAATCAACCTTGTCTTCCTTTGGTAGACCCATCGTGGTCATTGTGTGCTACTTTCTTATTCACTGCAGGATTAAATTTGCTAATTTTTTTTTTTT